GAGGAGGCATTAGGCCAGCTGGACTGGCCACCACTGCAATTTGCCTTTCCGGATCAGCAAATGGTCTGAAAAATGCAGTGATCTATATGGCTCCATCACAACTAACAGTGTTTTACTGGGGGTAAAGGAAGAGAAAAAGACTAGCACAACAGAAAAGCAACATGCTTAAGGATACTTTTTTTGCAATAAAACAGTCCAGTCTGGCTGCAGAGCCAGACTTGCTCTCTCTTCGTCATAGGTTCTTGCTTTGTTTCTGAGCTTCATGACCGAGGAAGGTTTTTAGCTGCTTCTGGGGTCTATGTTTAAAATTTCTAACAACTGAAAAACCAAAAACTTTTGCTCATGCTCCTCTGGGTTCCCCAGATCCCAGCAACCTTTATCCTGGGGTGGTCTAAGTAATGAAGGTAAGCAAATAAAACTGAGAGCAATTGCTCTCAACCTGTGTTTCCCTTTGAAACTTGCGGCTTCTCTTCGAGCTTATGGGTGGGCCACATATGCCTAAAAGCTCCTCTCTTTTTTTTTCCAGCTATCTCAGGCAATCGAATAAAAGATACTACCTCTCCCTAAAAAACTTGCCTCATAAAATTTAATGGCTATCTTCCACTGTTCTCATATCACCTGTGGCTTTTCTCGTGGATTGACCAGTGATGGCAATCACCAAGCCCCAGTGCCACAGAGTAAACCCTTATCTCTACTCCTGTGAGCTCTTGCCTCTGTTTTTGTACTTTACAATTGCTTTTCCAATTCTGACTTTGTTTTTCTGCAGCCATACCACGTGATGGATCTGCAGCACTTTACAGGACCTGCTCTGAGTGAACTCAGGATCGGGTAAATCTTCTTTATAATGAAAGTCTTGGTTACTGACAGAGCAGAAATGTTCACAGAAAGTATCTTCTTGGTTTGAAACATGATTTTTGTAAAAGAGATTTTCGTGACAGCCTGTTTTCTCAAACCAGCGAGATGCTTTTGCATTCGTGCTTTTTAATCCTCATCCTCTTCACCTTCAAATATCAGCATACTGTTTCAGGAATTGTCTTCCTCACCCAGCAGTGGTCACATCATTCTTTTATCTTCTGACACTCCCTAAAACACTCTCCTGGCCACTGGCATTCAATTACTAAATGAACGGCTGTTTGATTTGAGGTGTCGCTAGGATGCTGATGGTGTGACACCGCATCCACCTAGGAGTGGAGAAGGGCTTTAAAAAGCTGTAAGGTGGATGACAAGTGTTAGAGATTCTGAGAGAAGGTCACTTTTGGGAATCATTTCTAAAGCTAAGCCTCCTCCTTGCTTGTATTCAGCGTGTTCAAACACCAGTCTTCCCACTAAAAGCAAAAGGTACCTGTTTCCTACAGCGCAAGGATTTCTGGAGCGGTTACTGTCTCCAGAGAGAAACCATCTACATTGACAAGTGAATGTTTTGTTTTATTCTGCCACAAGATTCATAATCAGTGCTGAAACTCATTTAACTGCTACAGAGTAAATAGATACAGAGCAGAACAATATGATCACATTGAGAAGGTATTTGAGGCTTTTATATTCCATCGGTGTTTGGTCTCCTTTGATTATGACCTGTCAATTTTCCTCGAGTGATTAAACTACTAGCTCTTTTTTTTTTTTTTAATAGATCTTTTTATACTCCTGAAATTAAAAGAGAGCTCTCTGAACTGTAAAACAAATCTCTCATCTGCATGAGCCCCGGCAGGGAAGGGTTTTGCTGCCAATTTGCATGCTCTGCTTGGTTAGAACCTTGCTTCTCTCCTGCTTCTCACAGGGCGGGAGGTGAGCGTTTCGTTCAAATGATGAGAAAAAAGTTAAAACAATCGGTTTGTTCCAACCACAGAGAAACTGCTCCATCTCTTCCAGCAGAAGGCTCCCCACTTGGGACTTGAAAAATAGCATGCCTGCTTCATGCGACAGTGGTAGCCCTGCATTTGGCACCATAGGGAGGCACATATGGCAGCAAAAACAAAGGAACGGGTAGCTGAGAATCCCTTTCTGAAGTCACTGTTTGTGGGCATTTTGAGGAGGAAAGCAAGGCGTAGAGTTGGAATTCCTCAATGGATGTCTCTTCAGAAGTGCTTTTGAAAGTCAGTGGAAATAACGCGTTGCTTATAATAGAGAAAAGAGGTAGAGCAGCTCTGCAGTCCAGTCTGAAGCCAGTATCTCCTACTAATACAGAAATAGAAGGAAAGAGAGAGGGAAGGGAAGGGAGGAGAATAAAGATAAAGATGTGTATTTTTAATGTCCCTGACTCAGATCTAAGTTTTTTTTTTTTTTTTTCCTGGAGTGTTTTGATAGATGTCGTCTCTCAAGAGCGTGCTTCAATTGCTGAGCAGGTCTGTAAAAGGGGATTGGAAATGCTGAAGCAGTGCCTAAAGCTCCTAAGCAGGGATGAGCTGTGCATTTGCTATTGGCTAAATCAAGGGACTTCCTGCTTGGCATGTGGGGTCTTTGGATTACTCTTCTGAGATGCCAAAACGGCTTAACTCAAGATCAAAGTCAGAGTCTTTTAAGACACAGCACTGCTGTGTCTCAACAGGAGCAGGTACTTTTCTTTAGGAAGTGTTTCACTCTTAATCACGTAAAAGTCATTTTCTAAATCTGTTATTAATTTAGCCAGCCACAGTTAACATGAAAAATCTGAAAGGGGTCTTGGAAAGAGCAAATTTGTCAATATTAAGTCTATAAGGGCAGGATAGAGTCTCCACGGGTGGAAGTCCTCCACCTCTCCAGTGCCCTGTCCCAGGGCAGCACCAACTCCCAGGAAAAAGGTTTTCTCAGGACACAGTTTTGCCTCAAAGTTTATGGAAGTTGGAATGGTTTGAATCCCATTCCCCGCCCCTCATCACCAATTACATTATTACCCAGTGTTTTATGTTTGCATGGATGGGCTTCCACGTAGAAAAAGGGCTATTTATTATCAAAGGCAGGGTCTTGATATGCTGATGATTCTTAAAGAGGTAATTTAATTTTCTCTGCCTCTTTGACTTTGTGATCTCTCTTGCAATACTATTTTCATGCAGAGATTTGTTTCTAATTAAAGACACTGTACCTGTTTTTGTCTATTTCATATAACTTTTGCCTGGGGAAATGCGAGCTGAAGAAAGCTTTGTCCTTTATTAAAAGGAACACCGAAAAAGAGAAAAAAAATCTCATAAAATTGCTGTCTTAATTACCAGCACAATAGGCATTTGAATAGTCATCTTAGACAGATTATAAAGCATAATTATTTCCTCACAGATCATGTTTCCTCCCAGTGTAGTAACGCATGGCAGGCTGTTTGGCATTTCGTTAGCTTTCAGGGTAGCGTTTTGAGAGGAAAGCTCAAAGTCTTCATCAACTTTTTTTCCCCCCTTTTTCTTTTAAAACAGTTTGCATGCACTGAGGGCTTCAGGAGGAGCGGCGTAACATTTGGGTCGCGTTTCGGGGAGCACAGATGAGGAAGAAGTCCACTGTCGTATTTAGGAACTGGAGCTGGCATGGGAATGGCTGTGCAAACTCACACGCGTTTCTGTAACACAGATCGTAGCGCAGAAAGCACGTTTTTTCTAGGAAAGAGAAAGTGGGTCCACGGTTCTGAGAGCATGCATTACCCATTAATGTTCCCCAGCAGCAGGAAAGAAGTGGGGAGGGAAGAGAAGCTGTTGAAGGAGAGCCAAAGCCCCCTGTGGACACGTCGGGGGGCGGCATCACATTGTCCATTCTCTTGATCTTACACTTAACCGTTTGCGAGATGCTGAGGAACATGTTTTACTGAGCAGTCCTTACACAGCAGCAGCAGTTAGTGGAAAGGAAGCTCTGCTGTGGAAATCAGAAGGGCTCTGCATGGATGGGCTGGAGGTGCAGAAAAGGGTGGATGTCAGTTTGCCTCTTCCGTGGTGGTGTGGTCCCTGGAAAGCTGGAAGTGTTTCCAAAGGCCAGGCATTGAGCTAGGCAGATACTTTGAAACATGTACCACTGCTTTATTCAAAATGTTACTGGGAAGAGCACTGCAAAGGTGTCCATGCGATTTAGAGCCCGTGTCCCGCTGAAAACCGACAAGACTCATAGTCCTGAATCTTTTAGAAAAAGAAAACTCTGTCTGGTTTTATTGAGGTACAAGTAAGCAATCCCTGCTCAAGGGATCAGCATGAATTCTATGTTCTTGCATCGGCTGCCTGTAGAGAGCTCAGGAGGGACTGTTAAATGTTCCCCGAAACATCAGACAGTCTGCAGGATCCTTCTGCATGCTTTCCTGACTAAAGTTGGGAACTGGATACCATACAAGTAGATCATTGCATTCCTAGCTCCCAAACTAGCCCAGACTAGCTCTGCGAGGACCCTGCCTGACTGGGGTGATATAAAGGATTGTGAGTCCCAGGAACTGAATGCCTTGATGCTTTGCTGCTGCCTTTTAGCAACATTGAAGCAAGCCAGGTTAAACGTCAGGAGTTTATTTAGAAAATACAGAGGACACTATAAGCAGCCTCATTCCCTCCACTTTTCCTTTCCTCCTTCCTTCATTGTCTCCTTCTTTTTCACCAAGAAGAGTATGATGAAACTGGAGAAGGGCATAGAAGAGCAACAGATTGGTTTGGGATGGCTTGTGTATGACAAGTGACGGTGCGAGACACAGCTGTTCAGCCTGACAAGGGGACAACGGAGAGGGGGAAATGAATGAGGTCTAAAAGCACATGTGGCCTCCAGAGGGACTGACTGATTGCTGTCTCTTCCAGGATGGGAGTGAGAGGACACTGCACGAAGCTAGCAGGAGCAAGGCTTAAAATTGCCAGAAGGAGGTGGTTCCGGGGGATCAGGTGGTTAAGCGGTGTGGTGGCACCCCTAGAATTCAGTGGGTATACCTGATGTCTCTTGGCCTGACACGCGGCAAGTGGCACCTGTCCATCAAAGAACATTCAAGAACATGCCAGAATCATCCTGGACCTGCCAGAGCCACCAGGTAATAGTATGACCACACCCTCATTTCGATCACAGCTATAAGTAACCCGCCGTGGGCTTCCGAACCTCGAGATCGCCTCATCGGATGCAGCCGGTCTGATGAAGTCACGGACGCTGCCCGAGGAATTCCCGCTGGGATTTAAATCTCCGCATGGTTGTGTGAGTGTTTGGTGCACCTACTGGGCGGTTATTGTCCAGGCTACAGAAGCAAAGCTTCTTTGTTAAAGGGGACTGTGAGCGTCCAAACCACGGGAGGGATAGCTTCCTCACTCCGTACTGCTTTTTCCTTTTGAGAGTAGCTACTTTATCCTTCTTTTGTCAGTTATTTTGTTTCTCTTCCTTTCTTTGTGCCCTAGCATATAAATATATGTAAACAGTTGATATATGTAAATAGTATGATAAATGTGCTTGCTAATTAATTACTTTATTTATTAGCAAATCCATTCATTAATACTAGGAATGCCTATACTGACATCCGAATCTGTTACCCATTACGGTTCAATAAACTGTTTAATGATGCCTTTAAACTGGTTCGGTGCTCAGTCCTTCCGTGACAAACTGTGGATTCTCTGAATGCTAAAATTCATCGTGGGCTCAAGCAGTTGGAAATTCGGTAAATTCTTGCACAAGAAATCCATTGATAATTACTTAATAATACATGGAAGCCCACCTCTGGCTCAGGCATCCCCTGAGCTGCGAACGGTTGGAGCCTGGGAGAGTGCTGGGAGGAAACATTTATACTTGCTGTGTTACTGTGTTCTTTAGGCATCTGCTTAAAGCCACTGTACAAGACAGGTTACTGGGCTGTGCATCCCATTGATCTAACTTGGTACAGGCAATCTTACATTCTGCGCATCAAAAGGGCATGATATGCAGCAGGTACTTTTCCACAGGAAAGAGTTTGCATCATCATACTGTTTGAGAGCTTTTTGCCCACTTTGATTGAGCCCTTGGAAAGATCCCTGTAAGTCGAGGAGATTTGGAAATATTTTTGGCTTTCCGTACTCTTTGCGGAAGTATCACGTGATCAGTGTGGTGTTTAGTCTGGTAACTTTGCTGCAGATTCTTCAGAAATGAAATAGGCAAGTGTCAGGAAATCTTTGGCCATAATGAGTCCCTGGAGAGTGCTTTTTTATGTATGTCCTACCTTTTCTTCTCTGTCGAGTTCCTTTTCTATTGATTTTCAGAGATATTTATGTGATGAACTTTAAGGTCAGACTATCTGTTTGTCCTTCTCTCTCAATCCTCTGTTTTTTTTCAGGCATCCTTTTTTTTCTATTTCTAGCTTAATTGCCACTCTTCTTTTGCTTTTGGATAGATTTTTTGTGTTTTTTTAAGTATGTTTTCCCCCTAGTTTCTATGGTAAGAATGTCTCTGGATTCTTTCACTGTCGCCGAAAAGCAGCTGTCTATTCTGTTTCCTTCCCTTTCAAAATTTCTTTTCTGAGGACTCCGATTTTATATTGTCTTCAGGAGTGACCACCTGACAGGCTGCTTTCGATCCAAATTTAGAGCTGGTTGATCGTTGATCCCTTGAAAGAGCACAGCTTAAAAGTCTTGTGTTGCCTTTGTAGCTAAACTGAATGGATTTATGTTAATTTGGATTGATTCAAAGCTGTTTGTGATACCAGCCGTGTTTTGACCATCGGCCAGTATTTAGCACCTTTCGGGTTTCCGTAGTCTGGTGCCAGTGCCTTGATCAGTCTTTCTGCCTTGCATGCAAATGGAGGCTTTATATATCTCGCTGAAGCCTGCAATGTTGCTGTGCTCTAGGACTCAGTGCAGGGGCCTTCACAAACTTTGCTCTCAAGCCAGTTGTTACGGAAGTGCCTGCTGCTCTGCAAAGCAGACGCATCCCAGGTTCATTACAGAAAATCGGTTTACTCATCGGCCAGGCTTCACCATCTATCCAGGCCTTGACTTCCGCTAGCTTTGAGATCATCACACACCTCCTCTCACCTGCCTCTTCCTTAAACTAGTAGGAGGTACACTTGATAGGCTTCAGATGGTCTTGTTCTGGCATTGCTGGGGATGCTGGGCTGGCTGGGACTCCGCAAGTGCTGACATGTTCTCGCTGAGACCTGAGCTCAGAGAAATGCAGGGCACCAGCCCTTTCCCGGCGCCTGGCCCAAAGCAAAAACTCATAGAAGTGTTGACGGAAAGCAACCTCTGGGTGTCTTTAGTCCCCTGTCCTGCTCCTAGCGAAACAAGTGTCAGTGGTAGATCAGGGCATACATGACTTTGTCTTGCCACAGCTTGAAAACCTCCAAGGGTTGAAGCCATTTCAGGCCTTCTGAAAGCAGGGCAGGCTCTGATGGCTACTGTGCTTTATTTGTTGCTTTCAGAATTTGGAAAAGACAGAGCTAGGTGTGCCTCTGCCCTGAGCCATGGAGAGCAAGTGCTAGGGCACTCCTAAGAGTGACCGACCACAAAAAAATTCATTTTAGCCTCCTAAATTCACCTTCCTGCTCCATCCCAGCCATTGCACACTGCTGATTAGGTAGAGGGAGCCCTGAACCAGGCAGGCCAGGAAGCATTCCACCAGGGTGGCATGTTGGCTTCCCATCTGTAGAATGGAGATAATGATGCAGATCTCCTTTGATAAGTGCCAGCAGGTCTCCACCTAATTGCAGCTGGGTGGTGCAGTATTATTTCATAGCTCCCATATGTCCCACACACACACCTGAAATAGTAGCTCTATGAGATTCTGCAGTCGTCCTTTTGTTGTGAGGGTAGCAACTTCTGCCTGTTGTCTCCAGCCCAGGAGAGGACAGTGCTCAACATTTAATTCAGGGAGGCTATAGTTAGGAAGCAATTTTATGCACGTTTAGATTTCTTCGGACCGGACTTGACACAACATCAAATATTTCTGTCTTGGGGAGGGCAGATTGGACCAATTCTGTAGTGATTGAAATGTATATGTTCAACTTTGACTGACAAGTGAAGACTCATGGGAAATTTACGATTCATTTGTTGGTCTGAAATGCCATGCAAGAATGATTTTCAACCATTCTTGCAATAAAGCTAGGGAAGTGGAGATCATGAAAATGAATTTCGATTCCTAACTTAGATCTCTCCATTGTAGGGA